ACTGAGGGCCTCCGACGGGATGGGACTTGAGCAGGGGGTCTATGCTGCTGACTGTACTGCTCCCGCCACTCTGCTATTTTAGTATACTAGCTTGAGCAGAGCCTGTATGAGTCTCCCCAAGCTGGGAATCGCCCCTCCCAGCGGCTGTATACGCATTTGCAGCAAGGGGCGCTCTCTCACCTTGCAAGTAAAAGGAAATGATTATAAGGGGGCGGAGTTTAGGCTAGTGGTCCAGAGAGAGGAGGAGACTGACTCTATAGCCAGCTGGTGAGAGCACTCACCTGAGAGCCCTGGGTCCCATGCCCCTGGCGCAATGAATATTTACACATCACGTACAATGTTTCCACCGAAGTCGAGAGAGGCCCTACAGACAAGTATTTAGAGCTGGCGCGGGGGAGGTGGGAGATGTAGTTTAAGTCCCTCTTCCCAATCAGGTACAAGGATTGGAACCAGGTCTCTCTCATCCCCCAGCGGGGCTCTCATTGCTTGTCGTTTGCCGAGAAGGGGGAGGCAGCACCACCATGACTGTCTCCTTCTCAGCTGTTTTGATGTGGGTTGCTTGTGCTCTAGGCACACCTATCAGACACGGCCAGGCAGGGAAAACCTACTTTGAGACCCCTGCTAGGGTTTAGGTGTGAGCTGGGGGCTAGGCAGTGGGTACATGCGCACCAGCAGAAATGTAACACGTGGGGGACTTCAGTCGTCTATAGGTTTAAGTGGTAGCTGATGGGAGTGGATTTTGAGGAGTTCAGTGGTGCATAATTAATGGACTTAGGCACCTAAATACCTCCATGGAGCTGGCTCTACATGTCTGTTAAGATGAGAACTATTTTGTCCAGTCTCATTTAATTCTGTTTTATTGCAACTAGTCAATTTGTCAGTCTAGTTTGAATAACATCGACTGAGTTGACAGCAGCTCCCTAAGCGAAGCTACCATACTACAAGAGAACTCCCAAATAGTAGTTCCATGGGGCTACAGTTCAGCACTGTGCTTTCTCTCTGCTTGGCCTAATGAATAATTTTTCCTTCCTGCAGGGAGTATTTCTGTTCCTCCACATTCTCCTCATTCAAAGACTGGAAACAACTAAAACTTCCACATTGTATCTCAGAACAGAAGCTTTCTTGTTTAAAACTGTCTTAATCAAGGCATAGTCCAGATCACATGGCCCTCATTAACAGATGCTTAGCTGTTGTCAAAATTGACATAAATTGGAAAACAAGGGGAAGATTTTCTTGTGTCTCTTATGGGTCAAATATCTCCTGAATCTGGACTCAAAATGGGTCCGAATTAGCACTGCTCTCTAGTGTTGACAATTCAGTACTGTCCCCGTTGAGATGTGCACATACTGTCTGTTTCTCGGGTTGCTTTAATCAGATGTCTGAGAAGCGCATGCAGGAGAAGGTGATCTGCAAGAATCTTTTATGGCTGTTTTCACAGTTCCACCATCCAGTGACCCAGCTTTCAAAGAGGCTGAAAACCATAATGAGGTGTGAATAACTGCACAACAGCAACACAATTTCAACTAGAAAGAGGGATATGACAGGGCTGGCCTTCCTTTTTAATGTCTCACTTCTACCACTGATAGATGGCAACAGTCAGCCATTTAAGGTGTGACTATACACAGGAAAATACAAAAGCAGTTTATATGCTAGTGTCATGTTGAAGAATCTATCCTCATCAATCCCATCGTTATTGAATGCAGTTGATATTTTTGGAAATATTATTGGGTTTTGCATTTGCTGGAATAAATCACAGCAATGGATCTATCCAACAGATATCTTTTCAGTTTCATAATTTTCCATTCCAAATATGCCCGGAAATAATTATTTAGGGGTCAAATTTTGTCCTAATCTTCCCCAAATTGTTTCTATAAATATGGACTATACATTAAAAGAAATTCCCCAGGCTGCAGAGAGGTGGCATCTCTTTCCTCTAGCCTTACTGGGGAGAATAGAAATAGTAAGTCATCTTGGCTGCCCAAGATCAACTTACATAATCAGCTTATTGCTTTCCAAGAGCTCTCCTTTGCTTTTTGCTCCAATAAGTAACTTATGACAACTATGCTGATTTTTATTTCATATGAAGAAGATATTTAAATGATATATACCAGAGGTCTCAAGCTACCAGTGTAATCTGACCCAGGACTCCTGGTAAGCCGGGTGGGGAGGATGGGGCCTGTCTATTACCTGTCTGCAGGGAGTTTGTTATAAACAGAGGGAGGACAGGGTGATCAAGAATAACAACAGGCAGGGCATGCCAGTAATTGAAGGATCCTTAGATCAACATGGAAACATTGCTGGGTACTCCACTTAAAAGATGGGTGGGAAGAGTAGGAATGAATGTTGTGCGGCAGGGATCTGGATTGGATTGCTGTGTTAAACTTTGAAAAAGGGGTGAACAGAGTTGATTGCAGAGTTGCAAAGTCTCACAAATCCGGGTGATCGGGCAACATGAAGGCAAATGGAATTCAGTGTTGATAAGTGCAAAGTAATGCACATGGAAAAATATAATCCTAACTATAGATACAAAATAGCTGTTCCCACTCAAGAAAGAGATCTTAGAATCACAGAATCATAGAGCTGGAAGAGACCTCAAGAGGTTATCAAGTCCAGTCTCCTGCCCAAGGCAGGACCAATCCCAACTTGGAATCCTTGTGGATAGTTCCCTGAAAACATCTGTTCAATGTGCAGTGGCAGTCTAAAAACCAAAAATCTAACAAAATATTGGGAATCATTAGGGAAGGAATAGATAAGACCAAATGCCATATTGCCGCTATAAAGAGTCACTGTATGCCCACATCTTGAATACTGTATGCAGATCTGGTCACCCCATCTAAAAAAAGATGTATTGGATTTGGAAAAGGTACAGAAGGAGCAACAGAAATTATTAGGGGTAAGGAACAACTTCCACATGAGGAGAGATTAACAAGACTGCGACTCTTCCGTTTAGAAAAGAAATGATGAAAGCATGGGTGGATATGTTAGATGTCTAGAAAATCATGAGCGGTGTGGAAACAGAATAAGGAAATGTTATTTACTCCTTCACTAACATAACAAGAAGCTCACCCAAATCAATTTATAGGCAGCAGATTTAAAATAAAATAAATTATTTCACAATCAATTTGTGGAACTTTCTGCCAGCGGATGGTGGAAAGGCCCAAACCATAACAGGATTCCAATAAGAACAAAATAAGTTCAAGGATGGGCCCATCAGTGGCTACTAGCCAGAATGGGCAGGGATGGTGTCCCTAGTGTCTGTTTGCCAGAAGCTGGGAATGGGAGACAGGGGATGGATCAGGATGATTGCCTCTTCTGTCTATTCCTTCTGAAGCACCTGGCATTGGCCATTGTCAGCAGACAGGATACTGGGCTAGAAGGACCTTTGGTCTGACCCAATCTGGCCATTCTGATGTTCTTGTATAGAGCTGAAATGAATCTTCCCCCTGCTGTAACCCACTAGAGCCCACTCCCCTTCCAGAGCTGAGATAGCACCCAGGAGTCCTGACAGTGTCTGTCTCTCCCCCACCTCAGTCCTCCCCCCCACATGCCTTCACTCTCCCCTACCCCCATCACAGCATGCACAGGTTGGCCCTCTTCTACCAAAATCTGAAATGGCACCCCTGCCCTCACGGCCCCTGAGCATGCAGCTTTGGGGAGCACTGGAGAGCCTGGCGCCATGCGACCGCAGCTGTCATGCATCCCTATGGGGGAGTGGATGAAGTTCCAGGAGCTGACCTGGCATCCAGTGGTTCTCTCCCCTCTGCCACAAGCAGGACCTCCATGGGGG